TAAACTGACAAACCTTGCTGGGAGTAGAGTCTACTGACTTATTCTGCAGTCTGTCGAAGTTTCATTGTTTTTAGTTGTTCTCAAACTGTGGGACTGTGTGACTATGCCCCACTAACCGGGCATAGAGCCACTCGACAACCTCAAAAAATGAGGTAACGGCCAAAGTGTTACCAGTCTATGAACTATATGGGGCTGTTTCAGAAGCTAGATTATCTTAATGGGTCACAGGTCACATATGAGTGCAGTAAATTTAAATGGGGCCATGATTATCAGTGTGCAGCATCCCCGCTTCTTTTAACAACAGTTTTCCTCTTTGCCTCAGATCTTTGGCCCAGTGTTTCCATGCCTTCTTCTTTGCATCACAGAGCTATTACCTGCATTTGTGGGTGTCTGAGGAACCAAAGATCTTTTCTCATCATCTACAGTATATAATAACATCAAAACATGGAAAAATCTCTGTGTGGAAGGGACAAACCAGAAAATCAATATTTGATGATGATGTTGATGATGAGATATTCAAAGCCTTTGCAATTTTATGCTGAGGACCATTATTCTGAAATTGTTCCACTATTTCAAATTGAGTCACCCCTGCCCTGTCCCAACCTGTTTGGAACTGGCTTTTTTTTTTTAGTATATTCTCAAAACGTTCAAAAGAGATGATGAACATAAGAAAAATCTGTGTAGTTTTAACATTATGCGTCAGTTTGACCACATTCACTGACTTTACTATGGCTACATATAAATAAAAAAGTTAATAGCAAAGCTTTACAAGTCCTTCAAGGACTTGTAAAGGACTGTCCTTGTAAGGACAAAACTATAGCATTTTCATTGTTAGAAACCAAGAGACTTGACTGTCTATATATTTAACTTTTTGAATATATTTAACTTGGATTTGCAGTTAACTGATGAGTTTTTATAACTGATTCCCATGGACTGAATTTGAGCTTCTGTTGGCTGACTGACAAGAAGCGATTCCTCATGTTTCAAAGTGGGTTTTTTTTAAAATAAGGAATATATTTACTCATACAGTAAACAGACTGTAGTCAACAGCATTTATGAAGGTGTCATAAAATACACAACTGACATATCTGGCAAGTGTCTTTATGACTCTGCGTCATGGCACTTTCATAATAATCATTACAGAAATTTTTGCCCACTTAAGATATCTTTATGGAACTGTGATGTTGTATTTGTTGCACTTTCTGCTGCCCTCTTGGCCACATCTCTCTTGAAAAATACATTTTTTAATGCTGCTGATACACTAAGGATATATAAAAGTCACCTGAGAAAAAATGGATTGCAACGTGTACCTTGTGACATCGATGTTCTTTCAGGCTCAAAATGACTTGATATCATTCGTGAGAGATATGTTTGACAGATTATAGCCCAGCAAGCCATGTACAAGAGTTGTGTTGCGCTAAAAATATCTACCCCTAATTAAACGAAATGATTTTATTGGCCTACAATCTGTGATAGATGCTTACAAAACAAATGAGTTTTAAAACACAGTTTATTTAACAGTGCGTGCGCAGAAACTACACATGAGAAAACAAACAAACAAAAACCCACACAGAAAAATCGGAAATCCCTTTTTGGCACCCCTAGTACGCATGCTTTACATGACGCTAAAGTTAGGGTTCATGTACTCATGTAACCACACACATGAAGTATCTATAACAATGTGGCCGCTGTTTCACCTTTTTTCTTGACAAATAACTTTGGAAGGTTAAAAAACATATCAGTCTTACATTATTTTATATCTTACATACCTTATTTTGAAACCACACAGCAATTTCCGGAAATTTTGCTATTTGCGCACACGCACACGCACGCAGGGTCGCTGAAAGTTTGCGCCCTTGCACCGCCTTGTTATTTTAAGCTCGCTAACATTTCATCAATGATTCACTCTGTGGAGTCCTGCCCACGTCCCCTCATGACGTGTGAAAAGCAGATGCGCTGACCTGAGATCAGCCTCAAGCTGCCACTGTGACTGCGCTCTGTTTGGAGTCCTGTCAGTGTGAAGCGCGCAGAGCACGGATCACCTCATCCTTCACACAGGTGAGCTGATCATTTCTGACCTATTCTGCGTGATTTATTCCTCGGGTCATTTTCTATATCCGGGGTAATAATAACAGGTGCACAGATAGTGTGGAGCGTCACTGTGGTGCTCATCATTATTGCACAGGTCTGCTTGTAAAACTTGCTAACAACCTCAGCCTGCAGGATATTTAGACACGTCCATATGTGATCTGTGTGATCGATCAGGGTTACTGATGATACTGTACTGATAACCCCGTTAGGAAGTCTCTACATGTTGTCTTTAGTCCCAACTCTCACTCAGATCACTGACTTGTAGCTGAGCTTTTCCCTTCTTTAAAGGAAAGTCACAGTTTTCTAAGAAGGCTCTGTAATAGCTTTTTATACTTGTATGATTCAGTTTTCTATCCAGCTTTTAGTTTTGCGAACACGAGTCTTTCTGTGAGTTAGTTTCTGGTTTGCTCTGAGGATTAATCTCTGAACAGAGTTGTAGTTTTGCTGAGTGTAGCTTTAGTGGCAGATTAAGAGGTTATCATAACTGTCAATGTGCGTCATTTTAACCTCCTGTCACGTCCTTACCAAATGTGTCATTATTAAATAATGCATTAAGTTCGCTGTTATAGCCAAACTGCAGTCTATTTATTCACTTTTTTTGGGTTACATTTAAATGAACAATAGAGTGCTTTCTTCATATCAATCTTAATGTGGAAACACACTCTTAAAGTTAAAATTTGGCAAATTGGACACTTTTTAACAGCTAAAATTTTGAGCTGGATGTGGATCAGGCCAATTGGAAAACTTTTGGGTCGAACTCCGGCTCGTCCACTCTGCATGTGGAAATGTTCGAGTGCGTTAATGTTAGTAAAAGCACCGTGTGAATGTGTGTGATCAAGTTTAAAGACTTGTGGTAAGAAGCTTTTTTTAGTGCTCAAACTGACTAGAAAGGCATTATGTAAGTGACAGTCTGTGTCTATGAGAGTTCTTCATTAGTTGTAGATTATTTAATGTAGCATAAAATCGTTATTTTTTGGGTGTGAAACTGCATTCGGTTACTAACTGGCCTTAAAATATTATTATATACAAACTACAATAAATGCATCTGCACAAATGTAATGTGACATTCAGCACCTCATTTGCCTATAAATAGATAAACAGGCCTAGGGTTCCTAGGAAAAGCATGACCTCAGATCAATGGGACTTTTGTTTTATGTGTGTGTGTTTAGATGGATGTGCTTGTGTGTGTGTGTGTGTGTGTGTGAGTGAGAGAGATCTTGGTCATCCCACATGTTTTGACAGATATGAAAAAAGACACAACAATATTTAGCATATAAACATGTTCACCGACACGCTACACGCACACACACACACACACACACACACACACACACACACACACACACACACACACACACACACACACACACACACACAGGGTCATGTTTCCATCACTTTAGAGGACATCGCACCGACTTTCAATAACTTTCTGAAAACTTGCCATAACCTCTAGTTTACGAAACATAACCCTCACCCTAATGTTAAGAGTAAAATTTACAGATTTTATTTTTGCGTCTCCTAACGCTGTAAAAATGTGTTCCCTTCATAACATTAGTAATGCAAGCACACACACAGACACACACTACACAAACACGAGGCCCATCACAGTCTTTCTGTTGTTCCAGCATCCTCTTCAGTACAAACCAGAACTACCAGCTCCTCTTGATCCTCAGGCTGTTGTCACATGAGGTGAGTTAACACCTGCGCAGGTTACGGAGGTTAGATGACCACGTTCCTCTGAGTCAGAGCAGATGAGTAGATTTTTTTTTACCTATAAATATTGAATATGTTTTACCCCTACAAAAGCTGCTGAGCCCACTGAATGTGAATATTTCTCCTCTCCTAGCAGGTCTGTCAAACACTGATGGGAGTGGAGTATAGTAACCATGGCACACTGTAATGTGAGTGTAATTTTATCATGATGCTTTTATTTTACTCTGTTGGGTGAAAGGGAAACGCGCCTGCAGTCCAGTCCTGCTTTGTTTAGCAGATGTCTAATGAGTGAACTGATATCGACATCTGGAGTGTCTTTGGCTTTCATGTCGCGTCGTATTTGATCAGGTCACACTGAATCAATATTTTAGAGATTCAGCACATGATCTCTAGCAGTGCCATTCGTTTGATGTGATCACTTAGGACGAGACAAATCTATGTATTTGTTGTGTTGCTCTTAACCTTTGATGGGTTTCCCTGTTTAAATGAGGCAAACCTCACGTATGTCTTTTCCTCTGGTTCTGGATTTTTAATTTCCAGAGTAGATTTTCACAAAATCCTAATCCACATAATTTAAACCTGAATAGATCAGACTTGAATAGACTGCTATTTAAAAGAGCGCAAGACCCAAGTGTCAATCTTCCTCTTTACTATAACTTTCGGCTGCTCCCTTTACCGCAGTCTCACCCCATCCCTAGCATTCTCCCCTGTCTCACCAACCCTCTGCATATCCTTCCTCAATGCACGCATGAGCCTCCTCTGTGGTCTTCCTCTTTTCCTCCTGCTCATCAGCTCCACTTAATCCTTAATCTGATATACCCACTATCCCTCCTATGCACATGTCCAGAGTCAGCCTTGCCTCTCTAACTTTGTTTTCACACCACTGAACCTGAGCTTTCCTTCTGATCTACTCATTGTTAATTCTGTCCAGGAGCCCACAAGCCACAGTACTCCCAGTGCTGGTCCCAAGCCTGGGTAACTGGGGAGGGTTGCATCAGGAAGGGCATGAAATCTTGACCAGATCAAACATACGGCTCACAGAGAATTATATTTTCTCTTCTTTACTAAATGGTGGTGCATAATGTTGAACATATCTTGATCCTTTTACATTTTTCTGGTATTTCAGTGTTCATATACAAAATCATCAAAAAGACCTGAAAATTGTAGTGTCTGGGCTTAAGATCAGCTCCGTTACAAGTCTGATCATAATGCTTTGGATGTAGTTCTGTCTGACCATTTTTGTGTCTTCTTTGATGGTCACCCCAGTCCACCAAGCCACATTCAAAACTATTAGAAAGAGGAATTTCAATGAAAACACTAGTACTTTATTTATGCAAACCATTGGTATGATGTGATAGTGCAATAGCAGAGTCTGTGGATGACCAGCTCAAGCAGTAACTCTAACATTCTCAGGGTTCTTGACAACATTGCACCTGTCAAGGTTAACACTGTTTCTGGTAAACAGAAAGCACTGTGGAAAAATGTTATAATGGTAGCAGATCAAAAGAGAAACTACAAGAAAACTGAGCAGAAGCAGTCTTCAGACTGACAATGACATTTTTAATCAGTGTCTGTATCTACATCTTTGAGTTAATCCTACTTTACTAACATTATTAATGAAAACACCTGAAATCCTCAGACTCTGTTTGCTGCTGTAGACAAACTAACAAGCCCTCCAGCACTGCCACTTCAAGAGTTTGTCTCAACCAAAAAGTGCAATAAGTTTTTTCAAGAACAAAATTCATATCAGAGAAAATATGTATTATACTCAATAATTAGCAGTAATTTAACGATGTCTGGCAGCACAGTGGTTAGCACTGTTGCCTCACTGCAAGAAGGACTATGGGTTTGAATCCAGCATCTCTGTGTGGAGTGTTGCACGTTCTCCTTGTGTCTGTGTGGGTTCTCTTCAATTACTCCAGCTTCCTCCCACAGTCCAAAGACATGCAGTGAGTGGGGGTTAGGTTAAGTGGTAAAAAATCTACCCGTAGGTGTGAATATGAGTGTGAGCGGTCGTCTATCTCTCTGTGTTAGCCCTGCGACAGACTAGCAACCTGTCGAGGGTGTACCCCGCCCCTCAACCTGAGTTGGATAAGCGGAAGAATTTGGATGGATTACAAAACTTTTTTGTAATAACTGCTCTCTAGATACATCCCACAAGTTTCCTTAAAATACGTTTGAGCAGCTTTGCTCCTGAGCACCTGAAAATTGTAAATTGCCCACACCTATTTTCGACTCCCTGAACTGGCTTCCAGTAACATATAGAACTGAATTACAAGTATTACTGGTTGTTAATAAATCATTAAAAGGCTTGGGGCCCTAAATACATATCTGAGATGTTTAATGGATACAAACCCAGTAGATCCGGTCAGCTAGTGCACTGCACAGATCTTAAACTAAGCAGGATGAGCATTAAGCACCATAGCAGCTAAATGCACAGCTGCTATGGTGCTTAATGCCACAACCAGCTAGCCCCTTTATTCATGATTGCTTTTAACCAGCAGGTAGCTGTGCCAACATTGTGTTTGCTGTTTTTATTTTTAATATTACTACTGGGATCATTTCTGCCTTTTCTTCTCTTCGTTTCATCTTTTTGGTTTTAATTTGATCTTCTAAAGTTTTTTGAATGGCTCTGGTGTTTCAAAGCTGCTAGACATGACCTTACCTTGTCGAGGTTTTACTGCGAACTCCTTAGTTTCTGTATTTTTCATTCGATAATCGAATACATTGTGACATGTATCCTTTTCCTGCTGCTGAAGCCTATTTATAAATCAATTGAATCAATCTTTTTTTTTTTTCCAGCTGCGGACACCACCTTCCTCTCCTCAAGATGATGTTAACCTGGGACCTTCAGCAAACCCAAAGTCAGTAACTCACTAACCAGCATGTAGCTCCGCCTCCCCATTAACTTTCTTAATGTCAGATCGAAGCACCTCAAACAGAAACTTTAATTATCTACAGTCTGTATTTTATTAAGGAGGTGTTGCTGTATGAGGAGAAACTCTTACCAGCATTATATCCACGATTTATATCCTGTTAGTAATAAAGTATCTCAGAAGTTATTATGTAATTTTAATACATTACCTTCTTGTTTCAGTGCCAGGCCCACTGACTTTGACTTCTTGGCTGTCATTGGCAAAGGGACCTTTGGAAAGGTAACACTGAAACAATTACTTATTTATAGATCCATCTTTCTGCTGTTTAATACATCTCCTGGCTTTTTTTCCTCTCGGTCATTTCCTTGTTCTACCTCCTTCAGTTCACTGAAGGAGGTGCAGCGGCTGCAGCGGCTCCTCGAGTAAATTTTTTCCTTTTTTATTAATAAATAACAAATCCAGTTGAAGGTATTAATGGTATTAATGCAAATGAATAAGGGTTTTACTGTGCTGACCTTGTGAGACAAGTGAGAGGGCGTTAGAAAGAAGGAGAGAGACTACATAGCGTGCGGTTGCTGACATTGCAGCGGGGGTCAGTGAGAGTCTACCTGCTGACTACTGTCTAATCGAAATGTGCTCCTTTCTTCATGAATCATTAACTGTACAATCCACTGAGGCCTCTTTCGGTCTCCTGAGCGTCGTCCAGTGGAACATAATAAATATGGACATTCAACTCCTAAAGATCTTAAAAAATAGGCGTTTTTGAGGCTTCATGTCCACCTCAGGCCTTTTTGCTCTTTGTGTCAACAAACTTATCAGATTTCTCGGTATTATCTGGTTCCACAGACGACATATCTGTGCTGCGTGCGCTACTTTCATGTAATATCCTGAAAGCAGAATGCTGAGATGGTGGTGGTGCAGACTGTTTGCTAAACAAGGCACTAACAAGTGAACCTCCATACAGGTCCTGCTTGCCAAGCATAAAGCCGACAGCAAATTCTACGCTGTCAAAGTCCTGCAGAAGAAAATCATCCTGAAGAAAAAAGAGGTGGGCTCTGCTGTCACTGTGTTAATGTGTTTTAAAGGTCCAGTAATCCGCGTTTAGTTGAAATGCATTTTGGAATTGTGTCAGGATAAGGTGGTGACGATGGAAAATAACTGTCCAAGGGTTCCCTCTGTGATAGTGAGGATCTTTGATAGTTGTTAGAGTTTTTACCTAGCAACAGGGTCTCAGGCTTATCTAATCTACAGCTCTGTACAAAGAACAGATTTTATTGCCTCCAGAAAAAAAAGCCAGGCCAGGTGTTTGTTAGACAGCATAATTGCTGATTAGACAAACTGATTGTTATTACTGACCATGCTCGCTGGCAACCTTCTTCCTCAGTCATCCCTTTTTGTCATAAAGTGACATTAAATGAAATAAAAATAATGTAATGAAATAAGCTTTTCATAGTGTGAAAGATAACTTGCACATCACTGTTTTAATTACTTTAAAAAGGGGTTCAAATAATGTTTAATGAGTAATTAAAAAAAAAAAAGTACACATATTTCAACTGATTTCAGTTAGCAGCATGAAAAGAAGTCATTGGTGTGCTTCTTTTGGTCCAGAAGCATGTGAGCGCAGTAACTCCAGGGCAAAAAACAATCACATTATTCATGCTTTTTTTTAGTATCTACATCATCACATTGGATTTTAATTTGGACTATCAAAATGTGATTAAAGTGCAAACTCTCGGGTTTTCAAAACCTTTACATTAACTGTTTATGAATTACAGCCATTTTTAAAAAGAAATTACACAGGATGTGTGTTAAACACGTTTCCTTTATTTTCCTTTTTCTTTGTATTATTTATGCATCATCACTGCAAATATATTCTGTGAATTACAAACAATATTTATTTATGTTCATACGTGCATTTCAAATTTTATAGTGAAATAAAATGATTTAAGGCCTTTTTGTCAAAAAACATGGAGCAGAAAAGCTCCAGAACTTATTTTTCTCCTTTTCCCTCTTTAGCAAAAGAACATCATGGCAGAGAGAAACGTGCTGCTGAAGAGCCTCAAACACCCGTTTCTGGTTCGGCTTCACTACTCGTTTCAGACTGTAGAGAAGCTCTACTTTGTCCTGGACTATGTAAATGGCGGAGAGGTACATGCGCTAACATACATAAATAAATCGTTTCCACTTACATAGTTCATTAGACTTTGTCAGAAAGTGGCTTGGAGCGTGGTGAATATCAGAGTTTTCAGAGATTTCTTTTTTAAAAAGTACCTGGATCTTTTTTTAAAATAAAAATGTCTTGAGTTGTCTCTTAAATTAGCTGAATTTAACATTAAAGATTGTAGACTGTAGCTTCATGGTTTGTTGGACTGTTTCAATTAAAGGTGCTAAGTTAAAAAGCAATGACATTAGATGCTCTCTGTAATAAATAAGGTCACTGTCAACAAGACCGATGCCTTGCAGCCCGTATAGCGGTCAGATTCCAAAATCTGTTCAGTACACTTATGACACAAACTGTTTCCACTTGTACAGGATATATTAGTAACTTCCTGGGTGACAGGAAGCAATTAGATTTATTTGTTTACTGTAACAAGCATCATCAGTGTACGAAGTACTGCTGTCATCACAAACAATCTACCTCTAGCTTATTTTTGTTCTCTTTTGTGTAACTGCTACAAATTCGCTTTTTTCTTGCTAAAACAGTAAAGATTAGACAAAGTGCAGTACAACAGATGATTTCCACAAGCTTTCAATTCTTGCTAGTTTTATAGTGTTATCATAGTCAGCCTACAGGTACAAGAGTGAACCTTCCCGTCACTGAAACAAAAGCCCACAGATTAGAAAATGTCTTATCTAAAATCTTAACATATTTCCGTCTACTGATCAGATGGTTTTTATTTCACCTATTGTGCAAATTTGTCCACATTTGTAATGATGAAGCCTAAACTGAAACTGGTATGAGACATAGTTGATGTCATGTTGTTGTTTTCCTCTTGTTTGCTGTTGCAGCACTCAAAAAGCAAAGCAAGTCAAAACCTTTTTTATACCGAGCTTTTTCCTGAGACATTGGAAGTGTCTCATCTCTCAATACATTGAAAAATTTTAATATAATTTTATTTTCTTCTTTCCGCCCGTCTTTCTCTTTGTGTAGTTGTTCTTCCACTTGCAGAGAGAGCGGTGTTTCTCAGAACCCAGAGCGAGATTCTACACGGCTGAGGTAGCAAGCGCCATCGGCTACCTTCACTCTCTCAACATTGTTTACAGGTTAAAGAGACGCTCGAACGTTTATTGAAACCTATCATTTATCAAAAATTGAAAATACAAAGTAAAAATATGTTTTTGCACTGACGGTCTGATTTGTTCTTGTTCATTGTAGAGATCTGAAGCCAGAAAATATACTTTTAGACTGTCAGGTGAGTCAGGATCAGCCCATTTGCTTTAACACTTTAAAGGGGAAAAAGGCTTTATTTGTGTTTGTCACTCACTGTTTTGTGTGCACAGGGCCATGTGGTGCTGACAGATTTTGGGCTGTGCAAGGAGGGTGTGGAGCCGGAGGCAACCACCTCGACTTTCTGTGGCACTCCAGAAGTGAGTAAAAAACTTTTTCAGTAAACGTTTACGAAGCATATTTTAAATTCAAATTCACTGGCCACTTTATTAATTACACATTGCTGTTGTTGGGCTAGACACCTTTTTCTGCCCTCAGAACTGGCTTAAATCTCCATGGCATGCATTCAACATGGTGCTGGAAACATTACTTACATTGCTTGGTCTTTTTTTATATTTAATTTTTTGGCCTTTTTCAGCTTTATTTGATAGACACAGTGAAGAAAAGACAGGAAAGCAGAGGCACAGAAAGAGGGGGGGGGGGCATGCGGCAAAGGGCCGCGGGTCGGACAACGGCCAGTCGCTCTCAGCCGCATGGCTGTGATGTGGTCGCCTGCTCAACACACTGAGCTAAACCTGCACCCTGACTTTGGTCTTTATTGACATGACTTGATCACATAGCTGCTGCTGATCTGTCGGCTGCACGTCCATGATCCATGAATCTTCTTGTTCCACCACATCCCAAAAGCGCTCTACTGGTCTGAGATCTGGTGTCTGTGGAGGCCATTTGAATAGAGTGAACTCATTGTCATGTTCAAGAAACCAGTTTGAGATTATTTGAACTCTGACACATGCCTCACTATTTTGTTGGAAGCAGCCATCAGAAGATGACTACACACGTGGTCATAAAGGGATGGACGTGGTGGGCAGCAATCCTCAGGCAGGCTGTGCTATTTAAACGATGCTCAGTTGCTACTAAGGTGTGCAAGGTGTGCCAGTAAAATATCCCCCACACCATTATACCACCAACAGCCTGAACCACTGATACAAGGCAGGATGGAGTCATGTTTTCATGTTGTTTACAATCCAAATCAATTTGTCGCAAAAAAAAAGTTTTTTCTGTGTAGGCTCAGTTTTACTAACAGGAGCAGGACCTGGTGGGTGTGGTCTTCTGCTACTGTAACCCATCAGCTTGAATGTGTTGTGTCTTCAGAGATGCTCTTTTGCGTAATTTGCTCGTAACAAGCACTTATTGGACTCACCGTAGCCTTCCTCTGACCTCCAGCATCAACACAGCATTTTCACCCAGAGAGCTGCAGCTCATTGGATGTTTTGCATGAAAATCCCAGCAGATCAGCAGTTTCTGAAAGATCAGCCTGTCTGGCACCAACAACCATGTCAAGCCATTTAAATCACCTTTCTTCCCCATTCTGGTGCTCTGTTTGAATGTGAGCAGATCATGTGGACCATATCTACATGCCTAAAGGCAAAGAGTTACTGGTGGGCCGATAAGATCTTTGCATTAGCAAACAGTTGAACAGGTGGACCAGATAAAAAAGATTGCATTATATAAACACAAGCATGCAGACTATGGGTGAACAATAGTTTGTAGGAAGCAAATGTTCCCTGATAACCCAAAGTTTGGATCGTTTCATTTTTCTCTCTCTATCATGTGTCTAAAGTATTTGGCGCCAGAGATTCTTCGTAAGGAACCGTATGACAGGACAGTGGACTGGTGGTGCCTGGGAGCCGTGCTGTATGAGATGCTCTTCAGCCTGGTATGCGTATTTGTTTAGGGTTTATGGATTATGAGTTTTGGCAGTACTGTACTGTTGTTAATTTTTTACCAAGAAGTAGTCTTCCGCAAAAGTAAGACACATTATTTTGGTGGTACTCACAGAAAAAAGTAGTTAAAAGTTAAAACCATCCTCCTATATGTGGATCCAAATTTGACCTCAGTTTTTAGTAGACCTTGTCGTAAATGGTCAAAGAAAGGTTTTGGACAAGGTGTGTTTTGCTAAACATCTTAAAGACACAGACTGATTGAATTTTGAGTTACATTTTATGAGGAATTCTTTTCCCTTTGTCATTTACTGGGCACGCAGCCATGATGACTTCCTGGTAGAAACTGCTAACATTTTTTCTCTCGTTTCCCTTAAAAAGAAACTTGATATGTTACATATGAATGATATTTATTGCATCCCTTCTGTTCAGCCTCCTTTCTACAGCCGTGATATTGGTGAAATGTACGATGGGATCCTTCACAAGCCGCTGATGCTGCCTCCGGGAAAGTCTGAGGCCGCCTGCTCTCTGCTGATGGGTCTTCTCCAGAAAGACCAGCACAGACGCCTGGGAGCCATCGCAGACTTTGTAAGTCTTTCGGTCTTTGCTCCATATTAAAACAGATGCTTTCCCAGACAGGATATAAGCCTAGTCTTAGAATAGGGATAACTGCAATAAATGTTGGCGCAAATAAAAGCTGGGTGTAGTCTTTATTTAAGAGTTTTGGATTGCTTTTAAAGAGAGCTCCACACCCAAGCCCTCTGATAACATTTACCTTGCATGTAGCAGCTATTGGCATTGTTCTACATGATTCACTATATGTGTGATTTTGTTTTTATGAAAGGCATGAAAAAGTTAAGCATGTGAAGTTTTTTCTTTCTTTTATTTATAGTTAGAAATAAAGAACCACACTTTTTTCACTCCGATCAACTGGGACGACCTTTACCACAAGAGAATCACCCCTCCTTACAACCCTAATGTGGTGAGTTGCTGCTCCGCCTGCTCGTGTCTTTTCTGTGTGCCTGCCTTGTCATACGTGACTTTATTAACCACTTATCTCCACCTTAGCTGGTGTTCTGTTTTCTTTCCACTCACCACAAATGTTTCAGAGCGATCAGCCAGTAAAACCCTCTCAGATCTGTCCCTGAATCTCTTTATCCCATCTTATGTTATTATCTAGCTAAAGATTAATGCAAGGAAATCCCTCTGACCTTTTTCACTCTTAGTCATTATGTAGTTGAAACTCTTTTACTTGTTGCAAAAACTGGTGTGGCTTTGCTTCTCAATCACTTTACATATGAAATAGAAATGTATTATACTTTATATCTTTAATGAAAATAAGGATCATTTATTGTGCTTCTAGGCTTTTTCAGTATATTGATGTCAACGAGTAAGCTGATCTGAATTTACTCACATGCATCATTTAATCGATTACTATTTAAACTTGGTTTTAACACCAGCTTTCAGAAGTTTCTCTAGATCAGTGTTCACTAGTTAGACTTAAGTTAGACAAATGGGCCTGTGCATCGCTGTATATTAGTTTTATATTTAGGACACCTTGTCATTCGTTGTATATAATGCATATAATAGCAGTCATCCTTATTTACGCTTAAAATTGTTTCATCTTTCAGAGGGGCCCAGCTGACACTCAACATATTGATCCTGAGTTCACCAGAGAAATGGTTCCTAACTCAGTGAGTCAGACCCCAGAGTTCAATCCCAGCACCAGCTCCAGCAATGCCTTTAATGGGTTCTCCTTTGTCGGCACCGAGGACAGCTTTCTGTGACATCCGGACAGATGAATCGCAGCTAACTGTTTAAATGATTTTTTAGCGCAGAAATCTTGTTCATTATTTTTAAAAGTTTTCTCACAAAGATAAGTGTTCCTCATGTAACACAGCAGGAATCCCACATGACATCGGTCATGTTTGACCGTTGCAGTGAAACGAGCATGTAGCAGAAAGGGCAAGTCTGCAATGAAGACACTGTTCGAAATAAGTTCAAGTTCGAAATATGTAAAACGTCTTGTTTGGGGGGGTCCCGTGTTTAGGATATACACAAACAAGTTATGCAGTTGGAGTGTCCTTAAAATGTAACAAGAAGTGCCTTTATTTCAGTTATTTGTAGAGAAATGAAGAACACATGAGGCCGGATAAAGACAAAACTTATTTTTCTTTGTATTTTTTTAAAGGCTTTAGCATATTGTACCTGCACAAAACACCATCTTTGTGTGTCTATATCAAGACTTAGCATTGTTGCTCACTGATCCTGTTTTTATAGAAAGTAGATCCTGATGAACATGTTTTTTTAAATTTAGCAACGGATAATAATCATGGAGTCCAGCACTGAGAATAATAAAAAAAAGAAAGAAAAAATACTACAAGAAGAAATTCATATATTTAAAAAAAAAAAAACTTTCTTACTCTTAACAGGTTAGATAGTAACAATTCTAGTGCAGTGTTTTGCTTTTTAACATCAGTTATCAGTGCACACTTGGCATGTTTTCTTCATTTGTTTTCATCTTTTTGTCACACGGTGCTACTGATGATTCTATGCAGCATGTTTCTCCTTAAAGACCAAAAAAAGGATTAAAAAAATCTTTGACCAAAGAAGGAGAAAAAAATGTTGAAAAGTAATACGAGCCGTGCTATTCGCAGTGATAAAACAGTGAAGGTGGCATAGCTGGGTGCGAAACACTGGCTACTAGTTATTGCAGCGGTGATCATAGCTGCAAATGTACTAAATGTCCACACCGATTTGCTAATGATGCACTGATGCAGTACCTTTGACTAACTTCAGTCAGTCAGTCAGCTATGGCTCTGTGTGCACGATATAGTCGTTTATTATGAGGATTATACAGTAGTCATGATCAAAGTATTCATTTGTTCTTTTGTCTGTAGATATAAGTTTAGCTTCACTGGTTTATATAACAGGTTAAAAAAGTTGCCATGTCTTCGTGGAAATACGGTGTCGAGTACTGTAAATATACAGCAGCAGCTTTGCAGCAGGATTATTACAGTACTACTGTGATTATATCAGTGTAAACTGTGAAGTGCCTCTCTGACTTGGCTGTGAAGTTGGTGATGGCAGTTGTAGGTGATACAGTTAAAAATGTACAGTCAATAACATGTCCTTGCATTCTGTTTTTATAATTCTATTCATATACGCCTGAAGTCTTGTTTGTGTATGTATTCTGGTTTCTGAACATAGCACGCTGATATTTACCTCCTTAAAAACTTGTTAATCTTGTTCAATATTTCATCTTAACAAATGGTGTATCACATGCTTTACTGTGAAACCAAATACACTCATGTACCCGCATGATTTCTGGAGTGACAGCTGTCATTTTTTCCTCTAAATCTCCAAATGGTCTATTGCTCGTAGGGGTCAAATTCTGGTCAGACCTTTAAAGTTGTAAAGCTGTGTGCCAAGCTGCCGCTCACCATCAGATCTTGTAAACACAGGAACTGCTGGGTCACGCTGCCAGCAGCGGCGCCATGCATGACCGAAACCAACATTAGCAAAAATCCACCTATGCGTGTTAATAACTCAAATATTTGCCAAAATATTTACGTGTTCTTTTGCTTGCGTCGTTTAACGTGACCGAACTATGTTTTTGATCATTCACTTCAGTCGTCGACCAGCATGTAAAAATGTCAAGCTCTTCCTGGTGGTGACCTGCGACAGGGTTTATCTACTAAAGATTGAATCAGAGGTTAACGTGGGATTGAAGACTTTAAAAAAAGGTCAAAAGTAGAACAGACCTGTATAACAAATGAGGGATTCAGTGGACCAGAGTCTGTGATGCAATCAATCAGCAGTCATGGTCACCCCCCTTTAAAGCAACAGTTTCCTTACTGTAAGACAGTGATAGCTTCTTGTGCTGAATTTATGTTTTGGTGCGACTATGTTTCAACAAAGCGTATTCATCCATAAAGAGATCCTAAAGGCAACCTCTAAATCCAGAAGCAGAAAACACACTCAGCAGGTAGTACTGAAGTTTTATACAGAAGACATTATTTTTTTAATAAAAAGCTTGGATATGATTTGGAATTTTGCTATTTTTGAAGTCAGAATATAATAATTTTTGATTATCTTTCCATGCAATTAAATTTAAAAGCCCACATCTCTTACATTTGGGATAGGTAAATATAATATTACTTCTACTTAGACATGAATAAAGACAAAGCACAGGTGAAAGTCATACAGACTGGAAGTTATTGTGCAACACGTTTGAAATGACATGCGCCACCACACAATTGCTTCAAAGTCCTTTTGGCACCACATTTTATTTTATTACATAAACATAACTCTGCTCAACTCGTCATCGATCCAATGATTCTCATTGGTTGATTGTTTTTGCCTGCTTTCTTTTTCAGTTGTGAGAAAGCAGTTATGACAGTGGAAAAACAAACAAACAAACAAACAAACTTGCAGTTGTTGAATTGAGGAGATGCAGATAGATTGGAGACATTTCTCACTTTGCAAAGCAGGAGAAGAAGATGGCTTTTACAGGCCTATAGCTTCTACCTAAGTGGACATGTCAAAATGTTTTCATTGGGAAAAGACGAAAAAATCAGGAAACAAAATTAAATATAGAATAGGATTGTCTCCAGTTCCATCCCTGGGCTTCATAGGTAAAGTAAAGACTCTGCTGTGCTTTCCTATTTCTGGTTATTGCTACTGAGCCACAACGGCACTCAGCTTCCACATGTATTCAAAGTGGGAATGTCCATGACTGTAAAGAGGGAAATGCCATAGTATTGTAATTTCAGTGTAAGCGATGACATGTTGGAAAACTGGTTATGTAATAGATATGTAATATACGACATACTGTTATCCAGATAATCCAGATATTACACTTTTATAGCAAGTTAACAAAGAGCTTTCCAAGAAAAACTAAAAACACAGTTAGAAGCTGCACAATAAACAATTGGTATCAACAAAGCAATGTAACATAATAAAACAATAACTGCGTTTATCAAACTGATATAACAGTGAATAATTAAAAGAGCAAAGGAAGTCTTTCATTGATTCTGGATAGTCATTTATTCTCCAAAAGATTTCATATACAACAAGCTTTAACTGACAGCCTTGGGTGAGTCATCTGTATATGATGGAGGCTTTGTCTCTTTTTCATCACCGATCGTATCTTCTCAGATTTCATCACTTTATGCTTTTTATTATATCACCACAAACTTATCTAAGTGAAGCGCTGCAAGCTGTGGTCACATTAACCACCAGAGACTCATTATTTTCCAATTTTTCAGGTGAGATTAACAGATAAATTATTAATCCAACAGTGAAACATGTTCACCTCACTGAGGAAAGTTGAGAGTTATTAACAGCTCGCCATCACCTTGGTAGAAGTGCCCCACTTAGTGGTCAAAAATCACCAACACTGCACGTGAACACTGCTCACTCAAGCAGAAGTCAAAGGGGTGCAGTGTACACACAGAAACATGTTTGCAACTTGTATGGTTCTCAGTATCATTATGTGGACAACAGAACCTGTCGTGTCCCAGAGTCTTCTTTGGATTTTAGTGTGACCTTAAGCTGAAAATACAGGATCCAACATAAACACTGAAACAGTTTTTTTTTATTCAACACTGCAAACATATAAACTTTATAAATTATAGGAAACACAAAGTGTGAAACTGCACCAACGATGAGGAGCCAGTGGTTCCTGAGCAACACTGCTGCAAAGGGTGGATGTTGGACGACACCTTATCATCCACCGGCATCCTCATAAGGGTGTAGACATCAAACTTGCTTTAGGTAAATTGATAACCAATAAATAAATATTAGGGAGTTTAAAACAACATAAACATTCCGTAAATACTACGCTCTAGCAGTAACATAATGGCACAGTGAACCACGCAGATCTTCTCGGCCTGGGGGAGCTCCCCTCCACCTCTTTACAGGTACCATGTCGTTAGGTTTTTACTACTGTCCGTTCAGCACTTTACAGTACATCCCTGATCATATTTGGAAGGGTAAACTACCTTTAAAAACAAACACAAAAAACAAAAAAAAACAAAAAAAAAACATGTCCTTAGCAGACCTTCCTTCTTACAGTAGTTGCGTGAATATCTCATCCCACACTACCACCTTCAACAAATCTCTCCCATTTCCTCCAGTTTTTATGAAATTGGTCCATTTTAAGGTTAAAAAAAAGAAGTAAGTTTTTCCATTCTATATATTTCCTCCATTATTCCTATCCAATCTTTCTTTGTTGGGGGCTCTTTCTCCAGCCACCTCCTGGTAAGCGCTTTTTTGCCAGCTCCCAACAGGATGTTTATCAAGTATTTGTCCTTTAAGGAGGCTGTTGATGGGATATCGCCCAAGTACACAGTACAAAAATCCAAATTTAGTTTGAGACCAGTCACCAAGTAAATTGATTCGACCAATTCACTCCAGTATGACAGGATTATTGGGCATTTCCAAAATATATGGAAATGATCTGCCATGTTTTCCCCACAATTTCTCCAACATTGTCCATCTGTCAGTTGACCTTTTTGTTAGTATTTTATTTTGGGTGTTATAAAAAATCTGATGAAATTTTTCCACGTGAATTCCCTCCAATAACCCGAGCTAGTAGTTTCCATCTGTGTCCTGCATATATTTAACCACCTGTCCTCTGATATGTTGATTTTAGCCTCCGTTTCCCATTTGGGTTTTTCTTTTCTTTTTTTTTTCTTTTCTTTTTTTCCCTTTTTTTTTCTCTGGCTTTTGTTTGTTTGTTAGTGGGAAAAAATAAAAACAAAAACTCTTTATTTTTCAGTAATGATGGGAACAAACGGTATAAACCTAGCTTTTTGTGTTTGCATATCCATGCGGTGTGGTTTATAAATATGTTTTCTGTGATTGTCATTTAAAAATGAAATTAAGGGTTGGAAAAAAAAACATTCCGTAAATAAGGATATTTATGATCACGCCTTTTTTTAAATTAAAAAATAAAAACACTAATTTCAGCCTCCATCTTTACTTCGTTCCAGTCTTATAGAGCGGTTTACCTGGTTCACAATTCAAAATAATCTTTATTAATCTGATCCTGGGCTTTGGTGTAGGTCCTGGGTTCATCTGGTGTATGAAATAAATCATTTTAGCTCTCTTCCCTCTCCCTTTAAGCCAACTTTCTTCGGATAGGCTACCTCTAGTAAGCAGAATATTTGAACTGTTGGTGGATAGGGCTTCTGTGCTTCTCCCAGATCTGCCTGGCTGTCTGGGGTAAACATATTGAGGACAGCCAAAGCCAAAGGTTTAGAATTTGGTCATGTTTATTTTGAGCATCTACCTTTGTAAAAGCACATACTTGATAAAAATAAGGAAAAGGCTTAACATGAATTTGTGGAGCACTTGTATGCTTCCTGTGGAAACTGGTGTATAAACAAATAAGAACCGGTCATACAGTAAAACATGGTTGCATGATATGTATTCATAGGACAGGCTGATTCTGGTGCTGCTTGTTTGAAAGGGAGTTCTTCCTTCCCTCTGTCACCAGGTGGTTGCTCATAGAGGGTCATGTGATTGTTGAGGGTTTTAAAAAATATATATATTGTAGAGTCTTTACCTTACAAAATAAAACTGAATTGAATTGAAAATGAATAAGAGATTTTAAGATATAATACAACGCCATGACATAAACAAAACAATTATCCCCATAAATAGGGGACTTAAACTCTTGCCATAGACAGGGTATTTACATGGATCTTAAAATGAAATTAATTTAATAATGGATGAAGTTAATCTCTTATTATTTTGACGCTATCTTTTGATAACAATGTGCGTTATATACATTTACATAAACGGCAATGGTAATCATCAAAACGTTATTATAACTTTAAAAGGAGGCTTTCTTATCTTAAAATGTCCATTTTTAGCAAGCACAAGTAGTATTTGCCATTTTAAAGACATTACAGGCACGTTATTGAAACAGCTGCATAACAATTAGCCTACCAAGTGCCCCACTAAAGGTTTTATGAGGAAGTTATTATTACGTTGGAATATATTCAGTGGTACATTAATGTTTTGACGTGGGCTTTTTATTTTCTTAAAGTCTTTTTACAAATGTTAAAGGCGAAGTCATGCATTCAGTGTAACCAGCCTGTCTTTTGAGCAGCCGTTAGCAGCAGCTCACATGGGTCGTTTCCGGGAACTGTGTGTAGCAGCTCTGCAGCAGTGGTGCTCTTGAACAGACCTTTAGTATTTCGTCCCGGCTAAATTTCAACTGATAAAACGCCAGCAGCTCCCTGTTACTGTCTGTAGATAACCAATACAAACCGCATTAAGCATATATTACATGGAAACAATGATTTATTGTGGTTGCTAATTTCGGGTCTTCATCGGGACCGGGGGACTGAAGGGACAGAGGAGTTATATCGCGCAGGTAAGTGTGAGAAATGTGCATGTGTGTGTATATTCTTGGTGTCTTTAAAAAAATAAACAAACAAGTAATATATAGGTATATGATACTTTGCGTTAGCTGGAAATGTTTCACAAAAGAATATTTTATTTGTCGTTATATTTATCAGGCAGTTGCAGAGCTTGTTTGTGTTTATGGCAGTGAGTGAAACTGTGATTTCCTCCAATGCCGTCAAGTTGTGAGCTGGAAGGGCTGAACGCGACTGTTTTCCAGAAGCACTTACACAATGTTAGATTTATTTAAACATGTCCGCGTTATCTCTGCTTTCGTGTCGGCTAAATGTGCCTGTTACGACTTCCACTCCTGATGAAAGCGTTGCATTGGGCAGGCTTGTTTTTATCCCGCACAAGCGCCGCTAGAGGCGCTCTACTTGCTAAATTAACAGCTAACGTTTTCTCAAGTGTGCTCACTGGATCTGCTATCAGAGAGTTAGCTTGAAGTTGCAACCAAGTTTAAATGTAAGTTCTGCAGCTTTGCGTTATATTTTTGTTCGATCACTTGCAATAACTTTGTTTCGAGAGTCGCACAATGTACTGTTGTAGATATATAAGGTAACAATTTGTTTTCATGGTGATTTAATTGTTGGGTTGGCAGAAGCTAATGTTAGCTACTTAGCTGTGGGAAGTTGTTAGCTCTTAGCTGAATAGCATGAATGCTTGTTTAACTGGTTGCTGGAGAGCAGGTGAAATACAGCAGTTAGATCTGTGATAATGTGCTGATATTTTGATATTGTATAATTGAGCAATTTTACATATTAGTGCTATTTCTTCAATTTGTAAACTCTGTAACATATTGTATTATTTAAATAGTGTAGTCTGTTACTGTTACTGTCTTGGAGCAGCTGTAATCCAGATAATTTCCTTAGAGAGAGGGTAGAATTAAGACTCAAAAATCAACTTTACCAGTCAATAAATAATTACTCAATGTGTGTTATATTTGAAATGTACTCAATAAATGAATGAAATTCATTCCAACCCATTTACACTGTAGTTATTATTAGATATCCCAATGGTGACTGCTTAGGTTAAGAGCATTACAGACGACTATATTGTGTTACTTATTTCTTTTCTTTAATTAATTTTGACATTAAGGTATTGACTTGCAAAAATGTAGATCTCAGTTGATACTGGATCTTTAGGGATTAACATAAATTCAGATATCTATATATGAATTCATATTCTCTATTTACATACATATTTACATGGAGTATTTCAGAGATCTATTGAAAATAGCAATGAAGTCATTGTTTGTTAACTTGTCCTTAAGATCACAGTCTGCTCAACTGTGAATTGTACTCTGCTGCATATGCTGCAGACAGTACTGAGTGTATTGTAAATGATGGCTCTGGAGTTATTTGTTTGGGTTTAATGTCAACCATGTCATAGTCGGTGTTCATCGCTGAGACATCTGAGCTCTCTTGTGTGTCTTTGCACTTGCACTGGGAAATTTAAATAAAGTAAAATATTTATGTTTGAGTTATTGGTTATCTTTGTGTTTGCAGCATGGACGATGAGGGAGATGATAATCTATGCTTTGACACTGACTCAGATTTAGTAGAAAATAAGGACGGTACCAGGTGTCAAGTCAAATGGACTCAGGAAGAGGTAAGTTGAAAGAAGTCTCAGGACAACCTTTTCTCTTCCTACAGCATCTTGATTTTCACATAATTTATTCAGTTACTGTTACTAATGTCATATTGTTGGTTGTTTTTTGGCTCATATTAATTAACTACCTGGCTAACTCAGTATCTGTAAATGTCGTTGTAATGTTTTGATGGTAACCCATGTACTGTGTTTGGACTTATTTTCTCTGACATTTAGGATGAAAATCTCAAAATTCTGGTCTGCAACATTGGAAAAAAAGATTGGAAAACTATTGCTAGTTTTTTACCAGTAAGTTTTGGTACATGCAGACATCGTTCAAGAATAAGATGAATAACAGCAGTGAATTCTGACTTAATACAGCGTGACATGTCTTGTTCCTTGTACAGGGGCGAACAGAATACCAGTGTATGCACCGCTGGCGAAAATATCTGGATCCTGACTTAATTAAAGCCTTCTGGTCCAAAGAGGAAGATGAAAAGGTGGGAAAATGAAAAACATGGTTTTAGTTTGGATATTTTCCTTTTTTTGTTATTTAAATTCTGTTTTTACTTTTGTATTTTTCTCTGGATAGATAGTAGAGCTTGTGGCCAAGTATGGCACCAAGCACTGGACTCTAATTTCAAAGCATCTAAAGGGTCGATTGGGGAAGCAGTGCCGTGATCGCTGGCACAATCACCTCGACCCAATGATCAGTAAGAGCTGCTGGACTGATGAAGAGGATCTCATCATCTATAAAGCCCACTCCATTCTGGGAAACCGGTGGACTGAGATTTCCAGGCTGCTCCCAGGAAGGTGGGCCAGTTAGCTAGCAATGACTGAATTCTTAAAATATGGTTAGCAGTCAAAATGCAATTTATTTATTTATTTTTTTCTGGCAGGTCTGACAATTCTGTGAAGAATCATTGGAATTCGACCATCAAACGTAAAGCAGAGCTGGGCTTCTTTAGAGATGCTGCTCAAAGCATTTCCATTGATATTCAGCAATTTGTGGATGGAGAGGTACAGTGCTTATTGGATGTAGTTCATACTTTTTAAGGCTTCATTTTCAGTTATAATTGATGAGATATGCCAGTATTGTTAGATAGATTTTATACTGGGACATAGCCAGCTCAAAAAATTCAAAGCTGCTTGTTTTTAATGTCACTAAACTACCATTTTTCCTGCAGTTTTAAGTTACAGTAAACTTTGATATTGTTAATTGTGAATTAATATTACATGATGTGTTACAGGTGGATTTCAAATGTGACGTTGTTTTAGATGCCGAACCAGTAACTCCTGAAGTGGTGAGCTTGCTATAGCTGTATTTCTGAAGAAAAGATTTAGGATACCTAAATCTTTCAGGATTTCACACAAGCTGTTCTCATCCGACAAGTTTGGTTTACCTATTGTGCGTTTTGCTCTGCTGCAGCTCAGGCCTGAGAAGTCAATGCAGGATAAGGAGCACCATAAAGCCAAGCAGAAGACTGCTGCTCCACCTCCGCAGAGGTCTACATCAAAGAGAGAGTCTTCCTCCCTCAGTAATTCTTTTCTCCCCTGCTCAAAATCCAGTCCCAGCTCTGGCACCGCACCACCAGCCGTGCAGGTGGATCAGAAAAAGTTTGCTGATGCAGCACTAAGGATGATAGCTGAGGACATGTTGCCCCTCTGGTGAGTTCTTCTGCTGATAGTTGAGATAGTGTTGGTTTGTGATTCACTGAAGGAGGTTTGGTAATCCTTAAGTCAATGCAATTTTCTTGTCACTCTGTGGTTATGTTGAAAACTTTGTAAAGGCTTTTATATATTGAATTAATATTTACTGTATATCATTAAATGTATGATTCGCTTTATTCCGCACAGCTTTGTTGAAGGGGCTGGCTTCAGGTCTTTCATGAGTACGATCAGCCCTGAGTACAACAAGCTATCCCAGCGCGCAGTGGCCCTGCAGCTTTATGACGAGGTGGAACGAGCCATCAAGCCTCAGCTCATCCGTGATCTTAAATCCTGCCTTGCCACAATGAAAGATGGTGAAAGTGCCATTCATGTCACCGTTGATCTCTGGGCAGGGGCTCAAACCCTGCCAGTAGAGGATCCCATTGTTGTTGTCCAGCTTCACTTTATCAGTGATTCCTGGCAGCTCCGCCGTCCTATTGTGGCCTTCCGTCATGTCAGCCACAAAAACCTCAGCACTTGTGTGTCCAGGGAGCTCGAAGGTGTGCTGCTCAGCTACGGGATCTTTCCTCGCAGCATCGGCTACGTCCTTGCCAACCAGGCTAAAGAAGCCCTAGCTACAAACAACTTGTTCTGCGACTACAAGATTATGTGCACGTCCAATAGAGGAGAACCGGATGGAGATGAAGTGCTGGCCTTTCTGTCAGACCAAATGTCTGAAGCAGAGTCCCCTTTTTCCGAGCTGCAGATGGGGACAAGGACTACATGTGCTGCCAGGACACTGCAGATAGTGATTAGGGATGCCTTAAGAAATTCAAGAGTAGTAGAGAACCTGCTCTCACAGGTCCACAATGTGGTGGCTTTCTTCAAGAGCAGCCCCTACTGGAGCGAGGTATGAGACTAAAGGATTTAAATGTTATTTCCAAGGTATTTAAAGCTGGGTTTCAATATATTCATTTTCATTGCGAGGGAGAAAAACAGAATTTAAGAGATGTTTCCTCTTGCTTACATTATTTAGTGTAATGTGGCAAATGTTTTACAGAAAAGATGCAGACCTGAGCTCTGTTAACAAGATTAATTTTGCCCTTTTTCTCTTTTTTCTTTTAAATTAGGTTTTGATGAAGGAGTACAATGTGTCTTTGTGCCCTTCCTCTAGCAACTGTCGTTGGAACTCCATGATGCTATCATTACGGCGAATGGTCCAGGAGTCTGTCTGGAGCTCCATCATGACTCTCCTGGCCCAGGCACGCATAGAGGCTAGTGACACAGCCAGCGCCCCACCACTGGTCATGGTTAAGAGGGAACAAGTGATTGACATTCTAGGTCTTCTTGAGCCCTTTGAGGAGGCTTTACAGGTAACAGAGCAAGTTTCTCTATAATGGAATTTCCAAATCTACATGTGTAACCTTTTGTTCAGTAATCCCATAATCAGGCTAAGAAGAAATGTGAACGGGGTCTTTAATAGAAGACATGTTTGTGTCTTATCTATCGTAGGTCCTGCAGGGAAATGGTGTGACTATGTCTCTCATCATACCGTCCCTCATTGGACTTGATAAAACCTTGGAGAATTGTGTCACCAACTACACCCACTTCTGCAAGGCCCTGCGCACAGGCCTCTACACACACTTCCAGCCAGTGATTCACCAGAAGGACATGATACTAGCTGCTGTGCTGGATCCTAGGATCAAACTGCAGGTACCAAATTAGGCCAGAAGCATAGCGGACTTCTGTAGATTTATATTTAATTGAATATGCGTGTTGAGTAGATAAAGGAAAAAAATGTGTGTACATTTAAAACAACCATTTTTTTTGCAGCCGTTTTCTGATGACAACCAGGATGAACAGAATGATTTCCTAACA